ATATAATACAATTATATCCATCAATAAAACCATTCTCTAGCAATAACACTCTCATGATGAACTTCCATGATGATCGATCCTCGCGTTTGGCGACGACGTTCTTGAAAAATCGTAATAGCATATTCCAGATAAAGTTATGCTTGTGTTTCATGTATTTGTAATTCTATATTGAATAAAAAAATTGTATGTTTTATTTCATGGGAATTATTGATCTTGATTTTGTCCAATGCTAGTAGCTTAATATACCCTATTTACATCTTCATGCAGTTAAATTTATATATGTATCAAATATAATTTTATCAACATATGGTATAATATCGGTGATCAATAAAAAAACTAAAGTAGATATCAATTCATATTGTTGTGAAAATTATTATTAGTGTGAAATTAAGTAAATAAAGTAAAAAATAAATAATGTTGATCAATAAAACAATTAATGAGCAAACAAAATTAAATAAAAAAAAATTAATCCGATGATACTTGCTTATGTTGTGTCGATCGCTCGCTATTATACTATGTTAATCGCTATTATATCGTGTTAACTATTATTATATATACTGTGTTGACCGCGATTATATTGTGTCCACCAGTTAGTATATAAATAATAGAAAAAATTATTTATTTCACAAACTCACAAATGATCTAGTGGTAACATAACACAATTTAAGTTATATGAATAAATGCAAACGTTCATCTTCTCATGAAACAAAACATAAATTACAAACATTCATATTGGTAATTAATTTTCTCTACAAATAAAAATTTTGAAATGTTAAATGTCGTTTCAAATTTACTATATGTTGTTCTGCTTTTAAACGTGATCTTGATCATTTTTTAGTCTGACTTTAATAAAATTTAAAACACGGGAACTTTATTCATGTACGTTAGTTTTTTAATCTAACTTGCATCAATTAGATTGGATGTCTGATGTCAAAGTTGTGCATGACCGGGTTACATTTTGAATTTTAGATAGGAAAAGTTGCATATCACCCCCTATAAAAAAATTATTTTCACACTTCACCCCCTCAAAATTTAAAAAGGTGAATGTCTCCTTCAAAATGTTATACTTGTTGCACGATGTGCCCCAATAGCAAAATTCCGATGAATTATTAATCGGAATTGAGTGTTTTTTTTTAACTTTTTTTTTGCACGTTACCCCTTTAAATGTTATTTTTTTGGCATATTATCTCCTTAAAAACACTATTTTTCTACACATTGTCGTTTAAAAATATTATTTTTGTTGCACAATACCACCGAAAATTGGTTTTTTTGGGCAAAGTGCTACCAAATCAATATTTCTAGGTGGGTGGGTTGGGGGTTCTCAAAACATTAAAGTTGTCGACAATGTTTATTGATTTATGCATATATTTTTCATTCCACATTCAACTTGAGTAATTCAAGTTCAATTATAAAGTGAGCTCAAAGGCCTACAAATTCCGTATTGTAAATTTTGCCAAACTCAAAATCGGAACCATATTATTAAAAATGAAACGACATTTATTAGTATCTCCACTCAATTTACCTAAACTACTTAATTATCATCGTATAAATATCGGCGGTTTGCCCTGCTGGGCAAGCTCAACTTTGCTCTCAATTTCAAAAAAATTCGTCTCAAAACCGCCGGCGACCGCCCTCACTCACCACCCGACATCTTCCGGCGAGTTTAATCACAGCCCACCAATTAACCCGTCTACTGCCGCCGTCGAGCCACCATGTGAAAGCCTTGCTCCCGTTTCTCTTTTTATTTTTTTTCCTTTTCCATCTCCAACAGTCTGATTAACCCCGCGGCGTCGGACTTCGCCGTGCGTCACCGTCAGGCTTCAGTCCGACCACCGGAGCACAGTTTATCTGTGGACTGTATTCAGAGTTGTTGCTTCCGGAAATATCTCCAACTTAAAGGCACGAGGTATTTTATTTATTTATGTATTTATTATTTCTTTAGTCTGTGTTTATGTTCAGCTATTGAGCAATTAGAATCTGTTTCGTGTTGATGGAGATACCTAAACTGGGTACGGTGAAGGGATTAAACTGTATCTTTTCTGCAACCAAAAGAGTGCTCTTTTGTTGTTCGATGAAATGCCTAAACGAAGTGCCGCCAATTTAATGGAATGTGATTTAATTATTACAACCAAGAGAGTGCTCTTGTTTTGTTTGATGAAATGCCTGAACGAAGTGCCGCCAATTTAATGAAATGTTGTAAAATTATCTATAGCAATGTTTTACCGTGGTATTTTTGGGTTAAACCCCTTGAGTTTGCAGCAACTTCAAATTCATGTTTTGGGTCGGCGACAATGAACTTGTCAATTTGTATTTACCGTGACTAAATTGGATTAAACGAACCACAATTTATCTAACCGGATTCACAAACTCCACACTATTCCATTTATCCCTGTTTTTAATCATAAGATATACAGAGAAATAACCACTATACTTGTTGCTCTTGTTTTTTGTTTGCAGCACCTAATCAATAGCTGGCTGGCTTAACCCTCTTGCTTCGACGTTGGTCCACATTTCAGTAAGCCTTTTTTGCACTCTTGAGAGTTGTATTGTTTATACTATGTTAATGCCGAATTAGCTGATTAAACTGCAGTTCTCTCTTGAAAATTAGGAATGATCGTATTTATTTAAATATAGATTGTTCGAGGGAGTGCATTGAGTACTGATGTCATGCTAACAGTTTATCATGTGCAGTGAAAAACTTGAACAACTCCAATTTGAAGAAGGCAGCAATCACTCCATTGAACATTTCTTGCTGGAGAAGGTACAGTGGCAGCACGAGTGGTCTTTCACCCGAAAGCTACCGTAGTCAAAGTCACCATATCCTTCAAAATAGCGGACTTCAGCACCATTTCAAGAATTGGCAAAACTTGAGAAAGCATAAACTAACAGCAAGTACTTTTGCCCTAGCAGTCGGTTTTTGGCCACGTGGACGGACCAAATTATGGCTGGAGAAGATCGGAACAAACGAACCCTTCTCTGGCAACCTAGCTACATGTTGGAGCAACATTAACGAAGAGGAAGCACTCAAAAAATATATACAAATGTATGAAGATTATGGAAATAGGTTGTTATTTATATCAAAACCCGAATTTCAGGTCTATGGGAAGAACAACCCTGATGATAATTGGCTCGCAGCTTCACCTGACAGAGCTATCGACGGATTTAAAGACAAAACTGATTTTTATTGGGAACCCACTAGTGGCGTTCTTGAAATTAAATGCCCGTATTTCGGTGGTGAAGCGAACATAGCCTTCCCATGGAAACGAGTCCCTCTGCATTACATCCCCCAAGCTCAGGGTTTGATGGAAATACTCGACCGTGATTGGATGGACATGTATTGCTACACAGTTAACGGGAGTAGTTTGTTTAGGTTATACCGAAATCAAGAGTATTGGAAAATCTTGAAGATAGCGTTGTCTGATTTCTGGTGGAACCATGTCCAGCCAGCAAAGGAGATAATCAGTACAAGGGTGATTACCAATCCGCTTACCGAACTAAGTTGTCTAAGGCCAACCCCTAAGCACGAACTTCATCAGTGCATTGTGCATGCAAGCAAGCTGCTTGTCGACGACTCGGATATGTTGTGGCGGGAAATTTGCGTGGCGAATTCAAGACCACGATATAATTACAGCAGAAGAGCTATATGATGGAGGGTCTTGATATAGTACACAGCAGATTCAAAGCTTTATATATACTTACATGTTTGTTTTACATACATGGTTAGTATCACTATCAACTCTATTTAGGTTCAGTGTTGCTCTTTAAGCTTAAAGATTTATATTCTTCTTGGCTGCTAAATTGTAAATTCTTTTTTATAGGAATTAGGCGTCGAGGATATAGGATACGCACGGCATAGATACGAATTGGAAAGTCTAGGAGAATTTTCGAATTCCGGCAATTAAAATCCCGGAAAAAGATTCGATCTTGGAGCAATATTTTTCCTTCCGAATTCATTTCCGATTTTTTTATTGGAAGTAATGTACTATTTATATTTCCGAAATCAATTCCAAGAGTTAAGATTTTTTTTTCTTCGAAAATTGTATTTATAACATTAGGAATATTGTGTATTTTATAATATGCCTGAATAAAAGCAATGGAGTTTTCGATATTTGCCTTCCGATTTTTGAAATTTTGATTCTTTCAAATTATTTTAAAATGGAATTGGATGTGTTTTAAAATATATAATCTTGGGTATTTTGCTTTTTTAAAAGAATAAATATGAAGAAAAGAAAAATACAATTTTCATCCAAGTTTAAAATAAATTTCAAATAACACTAAAGGTGTTTGTATCTAACGAAGTTTAAATATTTAAAGTATGGGGCGTAAATGTGAATTATGAAAACCTTAGGGGTGGTAAACTTTCAATTAAACCGGCATTCAATTTATAAAACCCTAATTTCCGTACAGAACCCCTCTTTCGAAGATTCAAACCCACAATTCCGCCATTGATCCAGAAAGATGAGCTCATACATGAGCAAACTGTTCCCCAGATCCAATTCGAGCTTCTTCCTCCGCAGCGGAAACGCCCTCGAGGCCAAAGTCGTCCGCCTGAGAGAAGAAATGTACCTCGTCGACGCCGGAATCGGCCGCCCCAGCATCGCCAACAAGCAGGAGCTCATCAAACCACCCAAATCCACCGAACCGGCCACCTTCTCCACCCGTGTCGGGTTCCTCACCCCGTCGAACCGGGAGACGCCGGTGAAGAACGTCGTGCTTCAGCGCTGCTTCGTCGATCTGGTCACCGGCGATCCCCGTACCAAGCAGCAAGCCGCCACCAGGTTCGACGACATCATAGGTCAGAACGACGCCGCCGCGTCCGGCGGCGAGCAGCCGCTCCTCCTCCCACAGAGGTTCAGGAAACAGCGCGCGTGGGTGGAGCTGAAGAACACGTGGAGGTCCAATTCGAAAGTGAAGGGTTTCGTGATAGAGAAAGTGAGAGGAGGGTACGCCGTAGCTGTAGCCGGCCACATTGCGTTTCTTCCTGCTCGGCAAGTGCACGGCAAGATCACCAGTGATCGGTTTATTATCGAGAGCATCACCCCGAAGAATTTTGTTGTTGCCAAAGCTTAACCAAGTGATGTTTTTTCGGTTAGATTTTCTATTAAAATCCTCTGCTTTTATTTTTGGGAATTTTTTTTACATTCGAATTTGTGTTGTTTCGATTTGATTTCCTTCTGTTGATATTGAATTGGACTTGATTTTAGAAAATAAAAAAAAAAATGCTGGCCATGGGTGTTTGTAGTTGATCTTTGTTCGTATCCGAAATGAAGCTACTAAGTGGGAAACGGCAAATTTTGTAAACGAATGGTCGTTTTTTATCTATGCATACAAATGTTGCTTATATGATATCCATTATTGATATTATGTTGTGTTTAGCTCTAGCGTCTTGATTTTTTTCTAACTATTTCAAGAACTATGGTGAGGAATCTTTCGATTATTTCAATGGAGTGGAATATACCTAACTTGAGAAAAGATGGCAACTTCTTGAAAAAAATATCGGATTGCTTAGTATCTACGGAAGAAGTGAAGAAGATTGCATAACTAGTTGATAATCTAATTGCAACCAATTAACTTGTTGCTACCGGGCTTTTGTCTCTCTTGACTGAAATTGCTGCAAGATTCTTGCTCATAATTACCCGTATCAGCATATACAGCTAAATTAATACAGTCGGGACTAGGGAAATTCTATTAATTTAGCAAATTATTAAATTTATCGAGTTAATAATTTAACACGTTTTCACCGAGTCGGGACCGAGAGAAACTATTATTTAATCAAGGTTATTAATTTATCGTGGTTCTACTGCATATATATAAACACATGTTGTAGATTTACACACAATCGCATACATACACATGTGGATAAGTGTGAAATATATGTTGAATGTTTACATATGCGGTAGGCTTACACTTGGTGACGTTCACAAATAAACCAACGTATAGTGTGCTTGCTAATAATCACGTATTAACGAAGTTTAAGGTTGTTGAGTTGTTGTAGAAAGTGAATTTCTTCTTCCTTCATACATATTTTGCTAATCTTCTTTAACCCAGTAATTTTCATGTGCCACATTATTGGGTTTTTTCGTCTGCATTGACTTGAGATTGAAATTACTCGGTCCACCATTTAGTTTGCTATTTAAGTATCATGCCGGTTTTCTTGCGTATTTTTTTCCTTTTCTTTCGAATCTCGTCTTTCGAATAGAAGCTAAATGTTGTCATGGATCGTGCCTAAACAATGTGTATCTGCGCATCATTTTGCCAAATTAACATAATGACATTATACACTTGTTCTTTGTGCTGTAGATGTCGAAAATCCTCGTTTATTTACATCTTAGTACTACGTACGTATGGATTGATGACAATCAGACAAATGGTTGAAGAAAATTTTCGAAATTATATTGTTTTTTTAAGAAATGGAGAAAAACAAATCATAAAACTTGGGGAATTTTCGGAAATTATAATAATAGTAATAAATTTAAAAGAAATACAAATATGTCATTAGGGTTTCTTAGTTACGCCTTTTTTTTTTTACTTTCATATATAAAGATTACGTGTCTCGTTGCAAATCCATTCAATTTGGTTGCAAGGTTCCTGGCTGTAGTTACTCACATCAACTTGTTTATTTTCTTGATTTCTTTTGCTTTATTTATTTTTCAGTAAACAGTTATATATTGGCTTCATGAATCCATATATATCCATTACTTGGGAGACAAGAAGACCAACATTACATCAAATTAGTGGTCCACATCGAAAAATTAAGATAATGTATTTTTTGGGAAAAAAAGAAGATATTGGAGAACAAGTAATATTTATGGAGTAAATTGCATTTACCACCCCTGTGAAAATCGCAACTGCGCGATTCCCCCCTGTCATAAAATAATTAGCAAATACCCCCCTATGAATATTTTTGGACAGCACACTCGACCCATTTGATTTTTTCCCATTGACTGACCGTGAAAATACCAAAATACCCCATATAATTTAATTTACGAATAGCCCTTAGTAAATAAACATAAAATAATATCGATTCAATTATAAATAACCTAATTTACAGGACCAAATTGTAGTTTCTAAAATTTCTTAAAAACCTATCTCCTACCCAAAAGTTCTGGCGTTAGAAATGGCATTGCAGAGCAATAACGACGGGCACAACCGCCGCCGACGCCTCCTCAGTCCTGCCGCTCTATCGATGCGGGCGACCTCACGAAATAGTGCAGGTGAAGAGAAGGAATCGTACGAAAAGGAACTGCACCGAGACGAGAACGAGATCGAAATCTCTCCGCCGCCTCCGGACTCGGCGCTGCGGCTGCCACCGGAAGAGTACTTCAACTTTTGTGTTGTTGAATATATATTTCCTTTTATTTAGTATTAACATCCATCATTCTTACTGTTGTGGGCGGGGCGACGGATCTGGAACCTATTTTTAATGTGGTTGTGGGATGTGGATCTGGAGAAGATTGTGATGGTGGCGGTGATGGTGCAGGATGGTTGAAATGATGGTGGGGAGCGGTGGGGCAGCGGCGGAGTTGAAGCGGTGGTGATTTGTGGGTGTGGTGGAGGGGGTGGTGAGTTGGAGGGGGAAAGAAGAAGACTTTTATTTTATTTTATTATTATTATTCTTATTTAATATAAAATGTAAAACATATAAAGACTTTTTTCTTTAAGAAAACATATAAAGATTTTTAATGTTAGAATATATGTTTTAATTATTGCAAATTTGTCCTTCAATTTAAGATATTTACAATTGGTGTATTAATCAATTTAATATAAGGATATTTACGTAATTTCATGTCAAAAATCCCTTACCAGTCGCACGCACAGCGAGTGAGCAACACGAAGGTGCGCCAAGGGGGAATACGCTTTTGACTAAAATTCATAGGGGGGTATTTGCTAATTATTTTATGACAGGGGGGAATCGCGCAGTTGCGACTTTCACAGGGGTGGTCAATGCAATTTACTCAATATTTATGATCTGGATATTTTAGACTACAATGATTATGATGTTTCACTATATTTTACACCAAGGGAAAAATAGATCTGTGAGAGGTAAACATTGGCTATTTGGACTCAGATCAAATTTCTCACACCACTTCACTATTTTACATATTCTCAATTATACCCTTCAACTACTCACTCCAACAATTTAAAGAGGAAAAAAAAAGTAAAAAGGAAAAAAAAATAGCATTCCTCTCTCTCCCCGCCGCTTCTCTCTACGCCGCTGTAGTTATCGAAGTCTGTTGGCACCGCCTTCTACGCCTTCGACCTTCTGCTAGATGATGAGGAGCTCGTGAAACGCGTCATAGTCTCTGCAATTGGGACTCACCGACTGCTATAAGGCTGCGGAAATCCACCGAGAGGCGGTGCACGGCTGAGTGGGTTTGCGTTTGGAAGGGTTCGATTACGACTCCTTTAGGGGCTGTGCTGCGAGATGTCGTGTGGTGTCTTTATGGCAGTGGAAGTGGCGACGGCGGCGAAATGTTGTGTGTGTGTTTTCATCATCGGTTTCTCTTTCCTTACCTTGCCATAAATCGAATGGCCGCAGCTGTCAAGCATATCGGAGCGGGCTAGAACGAATTGGAACAACATGGATCGTCTAATTACTTCTCCAGCTCTCAAACGATGATTTAAAGAAATCTCAAACTAGGGTTTTCACTTTTAATTAAAAGTTTAAACTAAATTACAATTAGCTCCAACACTTCAAAATGTCAGTATTATAAGTAGGTTTTTAAATTTTCAAAATTTACAATCTAGTCCTAATTGTTTTTTGCTTCTTTTAATTAAAAAGATAATTTCATAACTTACAATTTCACCCATAATTCTAATTCTCTCAACATTTATAGAATTGTTCCAAAATTAAAATTGTTCCACCAAAATATTAATAGTAAAAACTTCTTCTTTATTCACATAATTTACATCAACAAATCCATTTCCCATCACAAATCAAAAAAAAAAAAAAAAATTATCTAGAAGAAGAAGATACGGTTGAAGATCCTGGAACAAGCGGATCTAAGACGAGGGTACACCCTAAGAGTGTGCGCACTGGATTCCTTCCACACATCTTCAATTATCTCCACAAACACATTCAAGCTTCTTATCGGTGGTATGTACATAGTCAGCGGCACCGCCGAAAACGCCACCGCGAAGAACAAGTGCAGCATCTCTCTTATCTATCAATCAATCAATCAATCAATCAATTATTGCAAAACCATAAAATCTGATTTTTTTTTTTTTTTTTTTTTGTGAGAAAAGATTTTTATTGTGGATTTGGTGGAAGAATTGAAGGGGTGGGGAGAAGAAGATGGGGCTTTTGAATTATTTGGGATTTTATTTTTTGAATAAAATATAATACAAGGAGTATTTATTTTATTATTTATTAATTAATTAATTATTAAAGAGAGGAAATTATGAAGATAGCGTGGGAAGACAGCTACTGGTAATTTCTGGGAGTCCGCATAATTATTAATTAGTGACCGTTCATCTTCTCTTTTGATGCCACCTAGGATAAGTCAATGTTTTTTTCTAGAATGTTCCTAGCTTAGTTTAGTTTTTTTCCTTTTCCTTTTCTTTTTCTTTTCTTTTCTAAATTTAACTTATAAATGCTTAAAACGAGATGCTAAAAAAAAAAAAAACATTGAAGTTATTCGTCCAGTAGATACTCGATAAATTAATAATTTTATATAAATAATTTTTTTTTCTGGTCTCAACTCGAGGACAACGTGATAGTAAGATGATACAAATTCGAAAGTTTTAAGAAGCCCCGTATAATATATAAATTAACAATGCATAAAATTAATTCATAATTACATAGTACAATACATAGTTTATAGTTATATGAAAGCTTAATAAACTATGATTTAATTATAGCTTGTTTCTTGTTGAAGTTCTGTCACCATCAATCTCGTCTCTCACATTTCGTATCATGGTTAGAATTTTTGGTATAGTTTTATCATTACTCAATAGAAAATTGGTGAGTACCATTGTTCCTTCAAGAGCTTCCGGTCAAGAAATAAGTTCTATAGTACATTGAACTAGTGATACAATGAGTAACATATACGTCCAACGGGCGCGGAGCTTTTTTCGTCGGAAGGTAGTACACTCTCCTATATATTCACAATGTGGTGCTAGTTTCCAAAACCTTTTTGCCCGTGCGACATTAGATGCGATTAGTTGTGCATGAGCTAAGGGTTGGGAATCGATAATTGTGGAAGGTGATTGTCTACAGGTTGCCGGTTACACTCATTGCCGGCGAGACTTCACTTTCATTGTTCGGTGCTTTTATCGAGGAGTGTTTGATTGTAGCTCACTCTTTTGTTTCTTGCAAATTTTCTTTTGTTAAGCGTAGCAGAAATCAGACGACACATATGCTTGCTACGGTTTCTAGTTTGAAATTTGAATTGTTTCGAAGGATCTTTTCTTCCTCAAGATTTGGTTTTTTATGCCTAATAATAAAATTTATTTTCCTAAAAAAAAAAAGGGTCATACATACCTAAAAAAAATTAAAAAAAATATGTTTTTTTCTTAAAAATAATAATAAAAATAATTTCATAAATTAGCAAGTTATTAATTAATTAAAAATAATAATAAATAAATAAATAAATAATTCACACTGATTAGCTGTAATATGCCTACAAAAGCAAAGATTTGAACTACTCTGTTCCTTTTATGATTTTATCTCATGCTTCCCAAATTCCGAATTCCCAAAAAACCTGCTAATAAATGGCTTCGGTAGTCGAGATTCGAAAATACAACTGTTAAAGGCATTGCATCTCGTCACGGCCAACAATGGCTAGAGAGAGAAAGAGAAAGAGGGTTCCTGAGGTCCTCTGGAGACTCTTCGGCAGCAGAGCCCGGACGCTCGCCGACACCATCCTCTCCTTGGTTCCTCCGCCGCCGAATACGGCCGCCGGATGCCGCTGCAGGGGCCGCCGCTGTCTCTCCTGCTGCGGCGGCGGCGACGAGGCCAGGTCGTTCCTTGTCGACCCCGGCGATCCCTCCGACTACCGCGGCCTCCTGAACAGATGCTACGTCGTCGTTTCTGTGAACGCGCCTCCCCTCCGCGTCTTCGATCCTCACTGCCGGTGGCCGCAGAGCGAGGTGCGTACGTAATTGTATTGTATCCCCTTTGCGATTTTGGCGGGAAAACGAGAAACCCTCTTCTCCTCCCCCTTCCCTTTTGAATTTTTAGTGTTTTTGGCGGGAAAAATGTTTTTGGACGACGGTGGGACTGATTTTCGCCCGGAATGAAAAATTCTGATTCTCTTGGAAACTGAAGTATGGTTTGGAAATACTGATGTGGTGTGGAAACAATATTAACTAATTAACGATTGCACCAAATATATTACTATGATTTGATAATCTCTCTGCATTTGTTATTACAAACTCAAGCAAATTCTAGCTATTTTTTTTTTGGTATCAAGAATGGTTTCAATAAATTTTCGGATTCGTTTACTGTAACTTCATGAGAATCTAGGGATGCTGTAGTGTAATAATGGTCCTTTCTCTGTTCTTCAGATTGTCAGAAGATCCATTGAAATGATATTGAGTGAAGAACCTGCTTCTTCAAATTTGATCTGCTGTGGTTACTATAAAGTCAGTATTCTACAGACCGTTTGCTTGTTGAGATTAATTAATCATGTGTTTGAATTTCATCTTTTCGGAATTCATATTTGGTGTCGCTCGAGCTGCAAATCTATCACATAGTTTGTAGACTCTCTCTCTCTCTCTCTCTCTCATAAGAATGTAAATTGATGAGCTGGCAGGGCACTCGCTCGAGTGATGTGGTTGATGTCCTAACTTCCTCAATTTGGACACTCCTCCTAAATAGAGTAAGTAAACGAGACGCCTTATGTTAATACTATTTAGTTTTGAGTAGTACGTGCACATTGAAAACGATTAGGTAACAACGACAAATTTTCAGGTCGGTGATAGTCTGATGGTGTATTTGTTGAAGTACACTTCAATATTTCTGCCTCTGCCTCGAATGAAGCACCGTCAGATTACCGGTGACCCCATCAACAACCTCGTCCCGTCAGTGGGGTTGCCTTACTCTAAATCTCAGCATCATCCAGTTGCGCAAAATGGTAACTCGAATAAGATGTGACGACCTAATTGCAATTAGTGGTTTATATGTATGTGGAGCGTATATTTTCATAAGGTTTATTCTCTTTAACTTCTTTCAGGATCTGCGAAGAAGAGGAAAAGGGTCGAAAGGGTTAAGCCGATACCAGTGAAGAAGCTTTGCACATCGTCAAACTGTGTTGAGTCAACTGCAGATAATGGTAAGGTTGACTTAACGTGAAGATTGAAGACTGATACTAATAACTAAGATTCGACTTTCAGAAAACAATCGTCTGATACAGTTGGAACGTCTGCAGGATCAAGTTGTCTTTCTAGTGAAGAACTTCCTCCTACAAAACGTGAAGAAAGTACAGAGCAAAATACTGTTTCATCTCGTAAAGGAAAGCGTAAAAGAAATTTTTGCTGGCACCGCAGACTAAAACGTAGGCCGTTGGTTGTTCGAGGAACGCATTCTTTGATCCCATGTAGAGTAAATAGTCGGGATATCGAGCTTCAAAATGGCATCTCCACAAGTTCAACAAGCTACGAGAGTGTAAGTATCTTGGTACTAATTGCCTGATATTTCTCAAGAGACGGGCCATTTCCCCGTCGAGCATCTTCAACTGTGCGGGAATAAGTCTTTTACTTAATTGCACACTTCTAGTTAAAAATTAGTAATCTTCCACCAAGTTTTCTAGTTTACCGTTGTTTTTTCGTCGTTCTGTTTTTTTCTGTAATAACTATGCATTGCTTAGTTATATGCTCTTTTGAAACCCTGGAATCAAGATAAGATACATCTTCGCATTGCACATATATGTCATCCTTTTTGGCTACTCACTATTTAATTTTGTTTCTGCCTACATAACATTGATTTTCGGGTTTTCGGTTTTTTGCAGAACATTTCTCATTGCGTCTGTTGTTCCGTCTTCCATGAGGCACCAAAGATGAATAGAAATGCTGAGATTGATAGATGGGACATATTCTATAAGATAGATAAGTCGACATCAATGTTTCCAAAGAATCGTATCCTTGGTACCTATTTGTTTTTGCTTATCCAACCGGGTTTTTTATTCTGATGAACTGTATCTATTATCTTTTAGCAGCCAATTCAGATATGCACACCTATGTGATACGAATATAGAATTCCTCGTTTTTTAATCTGGATCTTTCCTTTCCGAAGTTATGGGCCTGTCTCTTAGTCTATTTTCTTTGAAAATTGTTGTGCAGACTTGACATTAAACAGACATACTGTATACTTTAAATCCCGATGTTTCTGGTGCTTCTACTTTGTTCAACGACATCTTCGGTGCGTTTCGCATTGGCAATAATCCTGAAACTGTACCATTTTGCAGCTGGAAAAATAGTTCTCCTGCCACATCCAACTGTTTGTAAGCAAAAGCTGCATTTTAATGTCGATAACATTTTTCACCTCTCTTATGTTATAATTAGCATGTGTCGACCATATGAATGTAGTGGTTATAAATATATTTTGCAGTTTAGCTGGCTAAACACTATTATATTCGAGGACCTAAGATTAAAAAAAAGGAAATTATTTCCATTAAATGTTTGATTTTTTCCCCCTCGTGATTATAGTTTTTATAGTCATGGTTTTAGTGGTTTTCTTTTGAGTCGTAATTCATCCGGTTGGCAACTTTATGTTTGTTATCTTTATCCTGCTTTAGAATCCCGTAACAACAATTGACATTTTTTGCCTTTTAGATATCACACCGTTACCAAGCTTCTCGAAAGCCTCATAGACAATACTCACAATTGCCGACATCTGAGGCTGTTGGATAAACACTGCCCCATCAGATCCTCGCACCGAGATGCAAGTGTGGTTTCTGGAGCTGGGTTCAAGGTCGGTATTCATTAGTGACTATAGCATTTATTTCTGTCTTTATTCCTGTATAGTGGAGAAGTTTGGTTCTCTTGTTTCTTCGATTTTTGAGTTAAAACAGATATACTTTATAAGTTTTTCAATGAATTTACCATCTTTTTTTTTAATCCGAAAAAAAACATAAACTTTTAATATGTTTTTGTTAGGATGATTTCATGCTTTTGATTTTTCTAACATTTGTGAGTTCAGAGAAATGATTCGGGGAGAAACTTGTGTACGGGTGCACAAGTTGACACTCAAATCGAAGGAAACCTAGTACATGAGCCTAAAGCCGGAACTCGCAAGATTATACCAGAAGCCATTGTTGATCAGGTTAAGCCGAGTACGTGTTATTGTCCCAAGGAAGATGTAGAATCATTTGTGTGGGCAATTTGTCGGAGAATCGTCCCTCCGGAATTGCTGGGAGAACATTCTAATTGGAGGGTTCTAAGAAAGAACATCTATAAGTTCATTCGTCTCCGAAAATTTGAAAAGTTCTCACTGAAGGAATGTATACATGAACTGAAAATATCGAAGTTTCCATTATTGCATGATAATATCGATAATGGCTGCAGTGGAATTGGTATTACGGATATTGCCAGACATGCAATTCTCGGATGCTGGATATTTTGGTTTTTCAAATGCCTCGTGTCGCCATTGCTTCAAGCCAACTTCTACGTTACTGAAAGTGAGTTTGAGAGAAACGAGGTACTGTATTACCGTAAATCTACTTGGCGGAAACTGATAAGAGAAGCTGAATGCATGAAGAACGATACGTTTCGCCCTTTAAATGTCTCGGCCGTTAGGAAAATATTAAAAAACCGATCGCACGGTTTCTCGCGAGTCAGACTTCTTCCCAAGAAAACTGGATTTAGAATGCTGGCGAATCTTCAAGCATCGTCAAAACTGCGTCTGAACTCAACCTCTTCTAAATTTCAGTCCTACGGTTCCGTAAACAAGGTCCTTAACGATGTTCAAGTGGTTCTAAGAGGCTCGTTGACAAAAGAACGAGAGAAGTTCGGTTCGTCGGTTTTCGACTACAACGATGTGTACAGAAAGCTCGTGCCTTTCTTGTCTCGCCTGAAGAAGAGATGGCCGAAAATGCCGAGGGTATTCATTGTGGTTTCGGACGTGTCGAAAGCTTTCGATTCGGTCAATCAAGATAAACTGCTTAGTGTGATGGAGGATGTCTTATCGGACGATGAATATGTTCTCGAAAAGTTCACTCAGGTTTTCTGCACGAAGAAGGCGTTGAAGGTCCACCATACTCTGGCACTAGCAGATCAAGACTTTGTTACCGTATCGTCTGGCAAAATCAAATCAATTCCTCCTCCAAAGTCTTTGGATGGCGTTCTCGTTAATAAGGTAACCTTTGAAATTCGATATTACCTGCGTCATTGATCTTTTCATTTGCTTGCACGTGGAACAATAATTTAGATTTCTATTAGCAAAAAAGTAATTATTTATATATTTCGATTTCTTTGAGAAATGTTATTTTTTAGTTTTTGCGGCAGGAAAATCCTCTAGTTATGATAATAATTCCTCCCCTATGTACTGATCATTAATTTATTACAGAGTTTTGGTTCCGAATTATTACTTCAAAATTGATTGGTTTTGATTTAGTTATTGCATAAAAAATGAGTGCTGACATCAATATCTTGTATTCTTTCATTACGTATGTCGTTTCAGGCACTTGACCGACCAATACGAAAAGCAGACATTAATACAACTCTGAAAGAGCACATAAAACGCAACGTGGTGCGTCAATCAGACAAGAAATTCTACCTGCAAAATGTGGGTATACCTCAAGGCAGCGTTTTGTCTACTTTCCTCTGCTCGCTTTACTACGGCCACATGGAAAGGAACGTACTTTACCCATTTATCGAGAAAGCTAGTGAGACCAATGGTGCTTCATCTTTGGCGGGGGGCAAAAATGGAAAAGAAAAGTTTGCATGCGGTTCCGAATATATTCTGCTTAGGTTCATCGACGACTTCCTTTTCATATCGACTTCGGAGAAACAGGCTTCTATGTACTTCTCCCGTGTGGACAGAGGGTTTCGTGATTACAACTGCTTTATGAATAAGGACAAGTACGGTCTGAATTTTAAAATGAAAAAGGGGCAAGAATGCCGGTCAAGTAGTAGACCATATGTTGGCCAAGATGGCGTCTCGTTTCTTCGTTGGAGTGGAGTGCTTGTCAATTGCTCCACGTTAGAAATTCAAGCGGACTACACAAGGTTGTTATATCTTCTTCCTTAATTTCATCGTCTTCTTGCATGTTTCTTTCTTGTCTGAATCAAATATTAAATTCTTGAGCTGGCTTTATATAATAATGCTCGAATTTTTGTCTTTGCAGGTATCTCGATTTTCATTTGAGTTCAACTCTAACAGTGAGTCGTCAAGGTAAAGTAGGCGAACAGTTGAAATCGAAGCTGCGTGCTCATATGTCGAACAAATGCCATCCTCTCTTCTACGATTCCAACGTCAATTCGCCAGGTGTTGTCAGGCTCAACATCTACCAAATCTTTCTTCTTTGTGCCATGAAATTCGTTTGCCATCTCTCAAACCTCTCGATTCTACCTAAATTCACCCCGCAATTCATCACCAACGCCATCGACACTTCTGTAAGGTACTAAAACATCACAATTTTTTCTTGCAGTTCTATTCACAAAAAAACACACACATCCATGTGGGTGCGTGCAGATGAATATATATTTTTTTTTTCTTTTTTTAATTTGATCACAAATGCAGGTGCACGAGCAAGTTCATAGAGAAGAAGATGTATTCGTTTAGTGGAGTTGATATTGCTTTTCGTCCGAAATATGAAGTGAAAAGGGCGGAAGTTTTGTTTCTTGGACTATATGCGTATAATCGAGTGCTGGAGAAAAAGCAAACGAGATACAAGAATCTGATTCCATTTCTAAGGACAAAGTTGAAGGCATGTGGGGAGATAGCACACATGTCATCTGAGCTCAAGTATGCTATTGATGACGAACATTCATCCGTATTTTGGAGAATCAAATATTGATTTCTATTCCGTTTTTTTGGGTTCGGAAATTGAGAATTCTCCTTTTGTTTTTATTAAGTTGGTAAAAACTGTTGGTCGAAAACTATTTTGAGGGGGCATATAGCTTTTGAAACACATGTACAAGTTGGGGATGAATTATATGAATTTCTCGATCAACCTCGTTCTCGCACATGTAACCGTTTTCTTGCTTTATTACTAAGTGATTTTGCAAGCCAAGTTTGGACTGAATCGGGACGTTTAAATTTGGTTTCGGAATATCAATACACAAACGGAATAATTCACTGGTTGTGTAAGATCCAATATATGAGTTTGATTGTACTATTGTTGATATGCATCTCGTTGGCAAAAAAAAATACAAGAAGATTAACACTTCAGCTCAAATAAACATTCAGATCAAACTACAATCAAGCAAAATGATCATAAACATAATAAGGCAAAACAGAAAATCCTAATTTTGCATGAACCCTAGCACGAAAAGATGAATCTATAAATAGGATGATTCAACTCAAATTAAAACACAATCAATGGAGGAAGCGATATCTTTATTTCACTATGAATCAACAAGAGTTTACAGTTTTCAATCAATACAACAAGATCAAAACATCAGAGTTCACAGTTTCTTCTCTCTCTCTCTCTGATTTCTTTACCCCTCTCTCTTATGATTACAATGTATTGTTTCTCTCTCTTAATCTAACCGAATACAGTTGCTTTATATATCTCCCAGAAGTCAGCTTCTCCTCCAAATTTTCAGATCACATGCCTTGATCTCCCTCAGCCAACCAGTGAGCTTGACCTCAGCTTAGTTGGTTAGTTTGTTATCAACATGTGCTCAATCCTACAATGCTCATCCAATTAGTTGCTTAGCTGGCACTTCTTAAATTCTTTAGCATCACAACCTTTCATTATGACAAGTTGATGATCAATTCCAACGTACTTTAAAAGAAAAAAAAATATTAATATCCTCGCATATAGTCCAAACTTTCATTTATGTGCAAGCTTTATTACATTATCACTACACTCCAAAATACTAATAATGTATAACTTTGAGTGAGGCAATGTCAATTGTCAAGTCGTTCTACACGTGCTGTTGAATTTGAGACTTTAATCATAATTATGTCATTTTATTAAGAGTTCAATTATGTATTTTAGCACAAAATGTTGTATGACACAATTTATTGTGCTAGCTAGCTATGTAAACTTAAAAGTTAAACTGTTGAGCCAAAGACAAATGTTGTATCATACAATGTATGTAACTTTCAGTGATGGATATTTAAAATGTTGAACCAAAGATTTTCAATTTTGTAAAGATGGTCTAAACTCACGGTGGAACAACAAACAAGACCATTAAATTTGATTATTTATATGCTACACCCTGTAAATATTATATTCTTACAGTAGATCTACACACCAATGTGTGTGTGAATGTTTATATATTTACGAATGGTAAATATCTACCTAGTGTAGTTCACCTGATGTAGCATAGTATAAATCATTAAATGTCATTTTTAGATGAGTTCCACTAGTTAAAATTTTAAATGGCATTTTGCATAGACAAAGAAAATAGGAGAAATTAATCTTATGAATCTAAGTAGTCTAGCCATTAATTTAATATTTTATGGAAAATAGCTATAAACTAAAATATAATATGATCATGAATTTATTATTGAAACCGGGTATTTTTTTATGGGGCAAAAATACACTAGAATATATAATAAAATTAAGAAAATACCAATAATAAACTCAAAATACAAAAAACATGCAGGACCCGTGAGTCTTCTGCTGCCATGTGTCATTTTTTGTATTTTATAATATGTTCTCCAACTACTGTAAGCGTTTTAGAAAACTACAAAAAAAGGACACGTGACAGAAGAAGATCCACCCGATGTTTATCACCGAATGTAGGGCCAAATGTAGGGTTGAAAGAGCCAACATGCAGGGCAACATGTTATATTTCCTTCTTCTCATATTATCTGTCGTTTGCTTTGAAGAAAAATAAAATATATTTCAAATTATTTGTCACATCAGAATTCTAATGGAGAATTTATTATGCATTTCTCAATTTTAGCCTTACTGTTCTTAGTTTATTGAGAAAATATCAACCGTAAAAAATATAATAAGAAGGGTATTTTTGTCACTTTGTTAGGTTTTTTTTTTTTTTTTTTTTTTTTGTTATTTCTTTATAGAATTCATGCGCACTTATTAGTTTTGGTTTCAATACTTGTAGATTAATATGAGAAGAAGGGAGTACAAATTAATTGTTCAAATGTCTCAATAAGGAATGTCTAGTTCCAATTGTTATTACTGAAATTCCACATCCATTTGTCTTGAATTTCAAATCAAAATAGTATAGCATTAGCACAAGAAGAAAACGATATATATCTTGTTGATTCTCATGACTTTAATACAATGTATTTAATAATTATATGAAACATACAAATACATCAATCATATGCCAAACTTCCTCAAACATTAACTATATGTTGTTAGGCATGTGGACCGAAGTACGAGGCCTCGATCAATCTTATTACTAAGTAATTTCTCTATAGAAGAAAGATTACTAAATGGTCTTATTCTTGAAAACGTAAACGAAAACTACCGTTTTTTATTTGTCTAGTAGAGACGATTGAAGACGGTAATTATGCACTTTGGTTGTTTATTGATGATATATATATATATACGGAAATGGAGAGGTTTAAGAGACGATGGAAAGAAAATATGACATTTTTTTCAGTATGTCAATGGTCAATTGTTTAAGGTGATCGGACAATTGGTGGTGGTGGTGGTGAACATAATCTTGGAAATACTAAGCATATACGTGGAGGTGGCGGTGGTGACGGAGGTGGAGGTGGTGGGGAAGGAGGCGGAGGTGGAGAAGGTGGTGGCGGAGGAGGGGAGGGGGGTGGTGGTGGTGGTGGGGGTGAACATAATCTTGGAAATACTAAACATAAACGTGGAAGTGGAGGTGGAGGTGGTGGGGAAGGAGGTGGAGGTGGTGGAGGTGGAGAAGGTGGTGGTGGTGGAGGAGGGGAGGGGGGTGGTGGTGGTGGTAGTGGTGCCGGTCGACAAAATATCGGTGATGGTGGTGGACGTGGCGATGTAGACCCAAGTGGCGGTGGTGGTGATCGACAAAGTATTGTTGTCGGTGGTGATGGAGGTGGAGATCTAAGTGGTGGTGGTGGTGGTGGTGGAGGAGAACGACAAAATACAGATGGCAATAATGGAGGACAGGTTCGAATTTGAGCATTAATAGTTGCAACCGATATAGACAGAAGCACTATTAAAACCCATAATTTGAGCACCATATTGATCGCCCTAAGAATGTTGGGAAAATGGATTAATATTTTCTTGATATATATAGGCATCAACCCTTTTTTGTCCATTCTTGAAGTATAATAACTAATTAGTTTTTTCATAATTTTTCTACACTAGATGGGCTATAGTCATTAATCTAAATTATGCAAGTTGTTTAATAGTTGACTTATTTCTTGAAGTGATGCTATTTACACTACCAACAAAAACTCTCTATTCACAACCATCTTCCTCTTTCTGCAAATTAGTGTACACCAAATTCAAGATTTTTAGTTCAACAATGAGAAAAATCAACAAAAAATGCTATGTAAAACAATTTATTTAATAAAATAGCATCATCGACAGCTTTAAATATCCGATAATATCTACGATCAGACATTTATGCATCCCAAAAAAAGAAAAGAAAAAATAACCCGGGTAATTAAAGAATAACTAATTCAACACGCTCGGGTACTTCTGCTCCAAGCTGTTCCCGGGAGCGACTCCTTACATTTTCAATCGGAATTGAACTAACAGGCGGGATTTGTTCGGTGAAAAAAAACGGCCGGGGATCAATAATTAATTTCTCGATATTGACAAAATTCTCCAGAAAGTACCTCGCGAGTCGGACATGAATTTCACGAGCACGATAGCCACAAAACTTGACAACTTTAAGTTGCTCGTGGGGAAACCCCGTACTCATAGTACTCTTCAAAGTTGAAATGGAAGGCGAGTGTAACTGAAAAACAAAAGAACGAAGATATTTAACCAAAATATCCCTACAAAATATAGGACTCGGATTATTTGTTATAATTCAGTTACGTATATTTGTTTGTGGGTCAAGTTATTGTTATCGACATACAAAATAAACGCATACACAATATATTTATTACCTTTAAAACAAATTCCTGTATGTAAGGTGCTGCCCTTATAAAGTAAGGTAGTAGATCGGCACTTTGTTCAGTCAAATCCCGATATCCTACGACCAACTTCTTCAATCTAGGCATTTCAGGGAACTCGTAAAACTCGATACCTTCCTGTGATTTTAAATCAATTCACAAAAAAATATTAGTAATTATATACCACACAAAAGAAAGAAAAAAAAATCAATTTTCGTCTTAACTAACCTCTGGATTTATCAGCACCGACAAGTTAAGAACCTCCAATTGCAAATTGCAGCAAGAAATTGCGTTACATAATTTTTCACCGGAAATTTCACCAAAGCCCCAAGGAAGAGACAGCTCAACAAGCATCGGGACATTTTCGAGTACGAGTTCTTCAAGTTTCTGAACAGTAAGCGAAACAAGATTTGGTGCCGAAACCCTAACGCATTTCAAATCACGGCAGTAACATATCTCCAAGTGTTTCAAAACGAGCGACGTGCCGCAAACTGAAACATCCGACAATTCTTTCGATTCGTGGACAGTCAGTTCTTCGAGCAAAGGGCAGTTCCGTAAAAAGAACTCAATCGCTCCACCATCCACATCGATATATTTCAAAGTCAACGCTTTGAGGGGCGTAAAGTCAACACTAGTGCTCCGAGTGAGAAACTCGTGGGGGAAAGCACAAGTTAGGCCAGGATAGCTTAAACTCTCGTCGTACTTCGGCGAAAAATTCAATTCCAAGATCGGAACTTTTTTGGCGGAAGCATATTCGAGCCACTGAGTGACTTCATCCACACGTAACGTATAGTCATCGTATCGCCTTTTATCGGAACCACTTATATCATAACGGATTATAAATTCGTTCAAAGTGACGGCTTCATGGGATTGGAGGACGAAGTTCACCCGATTTACAAACTTGCCCCTTTCCACTTCGGACAACTTTTTGCGGTTTGCAGTTGCGTCAACTGCGCGGCCAATGTATGCATCGAACTTGAGAGAAGAGGTGTGTTTCCACAAGTTTATCCAACGGGATGAAAGAACACTAGTGCGTGCAGCCTCGATTGGCGATAGGAAAGATAGGATAGCCACGAGAATGTCATCCGGTAACCGATTTATCCGATCATTATCGAGCTATAGCAAAAAATGATTAAAAAAAAATCCCATCAGATTAAAAAAAAAAACACATTGCAATTGTATTATTGGACCATGGAAGGACGAACAAATAATTTCCCCAAGAGACAAGATAGGACGAGATAAAATAATTACCTCGGGGTTTTTTTTCCTAAGATAATATATAGTTGAGGGAGGTGGCTGTAATTACACAAATATGACCATTGTGATATTTTCATCATATTTTGTAACAATTAATCAATCTGATGAATAAAGACGAAAAGAAAATGATTTTGATCCTGCAAAAAACTTAATTCCCTTTTTCCCTTATTCATCTCAATTTACAGGACTTCAAATTCATAGCAATATACGAAATTGGAGATCATAATCCCCACAGAATTTAATCAATTAATTTATTCATCTTCCTTTTCTTCAAATTGCAATATCAGCCGAGAAAATTAGGGTTTGGTTGCTAGATTTAGTAACAAAAATCGGAACAGTTTTAATGGAAGCTAACCTTCATCTTGGATTGAAATTCGGCATCAATTTCCTCACTCATTGAGCTTCGACGAAAAACCTAGAAATTGCAACAATAATAAAATTCTCCAATCCAAAATATATTTAGTAATTTTTTTATTTTATTTTTTCTCTGAAGCAGTGAAATTCTAACATGAACCGGTCAGACCGTAAGAAGAAATAAGTTCGGAATTGCGTTTTGCACCCCAGTATTAACACTGACTGACAATTTGCACCTTAACATTTATTATTTAAGATTGGCAAAGTCATTATTAATATTTTGCTCCTATTACATTAATTTATGAAGATGGGTTAAGCAGGAAATGAAGCTTCTTGATAAAAGTTGTGAAAAGGAGAGACAGTTCGCGTGCAGGCCGGTTCTGAGAAGAGGCGAAGTAAGCCGTCGCCTAGGGCCCTAAATTTTTACGAAAATTTAGGGGCCCCAAATTATTTTACATTTTATATAGTAGTACTTATATTTAAAAATTTATTATCTATAGTATTTTGCAACATCAATTCTAAAATAAATTTAAACTAAATGCTCAATAGATATTTTTGCAATTTTCTTAACATTGGGGCCCCTAAATATTAAATTTATATTGTCTTAATTACTTATTTTTACTCTAAAATATGAATCAATATTCATTAGTGGATTCAAGTTTATAAATATTTATGAAGTCTATTTGCTAAGATTATACGTCACGGGAGGAAGTAAACCAGCAAATCATCCTATTAATTTTGATTTTTTTCCATATTTTTTAGTTATTTTATATTCATACATTTCAAAAAATATTTCAGGGGCACTGTCCCCGAACCCATAATCTTGTATTTCATCATTTTTAGAAAATATTATTTATGATTTTTTTAGTACACTCAATTTCGAACATCCTTTAATTAAAAAAATGGTTTATTGGATAACTATTGGTTCTCGGATAGAAACCTGAAGCTCAGAATTCATTGGATGCCAACAAACTACATTACTAGTATTTGTATATTTATTTGGCTGTATGATTCTTTGTTTTGGACTGACATTGAAATACCTGGCAAATGGCTTGGTTTTAGTTGAGTTTGGCAATATGTAGTATTGGTTTGAGTCCGAAATATAGAGGTACTTGCTTGATCCTTGTGTGGTCAAGAACAATGTCTAATGACTCCGACACATAGATATGAAAATTTGCTGATTTTATTGTGTTGGCGCCAGATTTCCACCAAGGAAGAAATCCGCCTCACTTGGGAAGTAAAGATTGGCTAAAGATTTGTTCCCATATTTATTTTGGAAATTTAGAGTCCTACCTTTGTAATACTTTAGGACTTAGATTTATTTCCTTGTACTTTACTCTTGTTAGGAATCTTTTATAGTTATCTAGATTAGAACTAGATATTGACTAGGATTATGTTTCCTAGTTATTCGGTTCCTTTCGAAGACAGGTCTTTGGAGGCCGATCTCACGCCTATACAAGGCTCCTCACCTCACAAAGACCGCGACACTTTTTGTTGGGAGAAAAATCACTCCGTAGCTTTGAAGAATCGCTGAAACGTTCTGCTAAACAGAACTGTGCCATCGTTGGATGTGTCAACATATACAGATTGGCTGTATAGATCTCTTGAGAGATCAACCTCGTCACTGAAGGGAGTTCAGGCCAGAAAGGAGTTCTAGGCACGCGGTGTGGAGCTGCTGTTGGAAGAAACACGAAGTTCGAGTTGTGTGCAAGAACGGCGTATTACATAAAGAGGGAGTCTTTAGTGTTTTTATTAAGTCCTATTAATGTACACTATAAATCTGAACTAGTGAAATCGTGTTTGCAGGTCCACGTGGATGTAGGGCACAATTGTGTCTGAACCACATTAATTCTTGTGTTCTGTTTATTTACTTTAAGTATAGTATAACTGTGCCAACACAAGATTTACAGTTGTAACTGAATACTGTTTCCACAACTTAACTGTTACAACTTAGATCAATTGATTTCTATAGGCATATAAATCAACAATTGGCATCAAGAGCCTCTCACTAGATATACATAGTGTGTGATTTTGGGAATTTGATTTATTTGTCATTTATTATTCGTAGGTACTATGAGTTCTCATATGGAAGGAGGTTCCACGACTCGCCCACCACTACTCAGGGGAACCAACTACTCCTATTGGAAGACTAAGATGAAGATGTTCATAAAGTCAATGGATGAAGATGCATGGCGAACAGTGTTAACTGGATGGAAGCGACCCGTTGCCACAGATGAGAAAGGGATTGAAACTGAGAAGCATGAGAAAGACTGGAGCAAAGCCGAACAAATTGCAGCAAACATGAATTCCAAGGCCTTGAATGCTATATTCAATGGAATTGATATCAATCAATTCAAGATAATCTCGGCGTGTGAGTGTGCTAAAGAAGCATGGGAGAAACTCCAAATCGCAGGGATGCCCCACTATATTTGGAATGGGCACCTGGTAATATTCTCTGTGAAACTTCAGCTGTTGGTGATAATGAAGTTGTTGGTGGACATGATGTCAAGAGAGCTTTGCTAGAGCAACAAGTCGAAGATACTACTGATGCAGATGTTGACCCTGATAGAATTGAGGTTATTTTATGTACTTAGTTTTGTTTAGCCTTAACCTTAGCTTTCCTAGTAAAACATGGAAATTTCGCGTAAAATTTCTTATATGCCTACTGATACGCGTAAAACCTACGTATGAAAAACCGCAAGTGTACAATATCACGTTTTGTAGAATAGTGAATTCCAGATATCGATCCACATGGAATTAAGTTCCTAAATCTACCAAGTACCGTAATTATACTATCCTAAACTTTATCTAGACGAACGAGAATGGAGGATGAAATAAAACTAAAAATAAACAATAAATAAAAACAACGGTCCGCCAGTATAAGCGAGGAATTCCGACGTGTGATGGTTTCTAGGGTAAAATCCACCAATGTACTATCGATAAAGATCTACAAATTCGAATCTAATGTCAATTCTATATTCGCTAACCCAGACACTAAAATTCTCTAACCCCCGTCTCCAGTGTAGTTAGAGTCTACCCACAGGTCCGACGTCTCCGTTCAGAACCTGATATTAAGAGAGCATTTAGGTCAAGTCCTTAAGGGCTACCCGAGGTGCATCACGTCTCCATTTCCACAACCCGAGCTATGTTTTCCTAAAATCAAACGAGAAATCCTCTCTCGAGTTCATTTCATTTACAATCAATTCAACTGTTGGCCAAACAATCGATAGCATTTAATACAGGAAAACATAAACAGAATAAAATAACGACAAATAGATCACAGATCTGGAAATCGAAATCAATATATACAAGGTTTCATTTCCCTAAAAGAAAATGCTCAGTTTATTACAAACATAGCATCCAAATGAAGAACACGAGAAATCATAAACTAAGCGTAAAGAAAAGCTTATGAAAAAACCCGAGTCGAAACCCTCGTCGAAGCTTCCCGCGAAGAACTGGCAAAAATCGAAGAGAAAACCGAAGAAGAAGTAGAGAGATATGTCTTGATATCGAAAAATGAAGAAGAGACCTTCTATTTATAGTAAGAAATCAAAGAAAAATATCTCGTCTCGAATTCTGTGCCCAGATCGCGATATGGCCTTGCCCGATTACGGTACGGGAATGGTGGATCGCGATCTGGTTCTTGATCAAAAACTGTTCTGTGAGACCCCCAGGCTGGATCGCGATCTGGGTCCTGATCAAGAAAGCCTTCTGTAAGACCCCCCATATCGCGATACGGGAAGGCTGGATCGCGATCTGGGCTTCTGCATCAACTTCAAACCCTGTTTTGACCCTTTTGTAGCCCGAATTTGACAATTTTTCATTTCACAAAAGTGTTAGGCCTTGAAGTTAGTTGTCTGTCTCAAACCACTTGAATCAGCTCAATCGGAGGTCGTATGCGAAAGTTTTGCTTGAAATACCAAACACTGTCATAATCCGCGAGAATGCACTTTTGCACGTGTTTGGTTTGATTTTCGGCTTCGCTTCCAAAATCGTTCCGAATCGGCAAAAATAGCTTCTCTTTACCTAAAATATAAATAAAAGAAAAACAACATAATATATACAAATAAAGCCGAAAACTCGGACGAACGAAGACCAAAACTCGAAGAATTAATAAGTGAAAATCATGCAAAATGAACACTTATCACCTACCGGAATTGTTTCATGTATCTTCTGCCGGAAGCTTACTCAAAACAATGACTTGCCTATTGTGATTTCTGTATCTAGAGCAACAAGTCGAAGATACTACTGATGCATATGTTGACCCTGATAGAATTGAGGTTATTTTCTGGACTTAGTTTTGTTTAGCCTTAACCTTAGCTTTCCTTGTAAAACATGGAAATTTCACGTAAAATTTCTTATATGCCTACTGGAATTGTTTCATGTATCTTCTGCCGGAAGCTTACTCAAAATAATGACTTGCCTATTGTGATTTCTGTCGAATTGCTTTAATCTGCTATGCTGATACTATGCTTCTGATGAAAAAGGGAAAAAAATATGTCTAAGCCGACTTTATTATTTTCCCGAACTGTTGCATGAGGTGGTGTCCCGTGCTTCATTTAGTTGCTTTAGAGTCCCGAAAATGTACTAATTCAGGTGTTAAATTGTTGTGATATGTTTTGTGATGCAGTCACGCTCTTTGTATGTTAAGAACCTGAACTTCAGATCATCTGATGAGAATTTGAAAACGCATTTCGCGGAGCACATGAAGGGAGGGAATATACTAAGTGTCAGGGTATTCTTTCTTGTCTCTATCTGCTTCAGACCACAACTACTAATTGCCTTCTCTATATGGTTGCTTTTACGAGTTTCATTCTATATGCTACTGTAGGTGAAGAAGCATATGAAGAACGGAAAAAATGTTTCCATGGGGTTTGGTTTCATAGAGTTTGATTCTATTGATACAGCAGTGACATTTTGCAGGGACCTGCATGTATTATTCTCGGCTGCTAATAGGAGAAATTTTATGTCCATTGTCTTTTACTATGAAACGAGTGCCTTACCCTTGTGATTATTGCTTCAGGGAACTGTATTGGATGGGCATGCCCTCATATTACAACTCTGTCATGCTAAAAAGGATGCAGTATTGCCTAAAAAAGTTGAAAATGACAAGAGTTCTACAAAGTTGATTGTAAGGAATGTAGCTTTTGAGGCCACATAAAAGGATCTCAGACAACTATTCAGTCCATTCGGACAGGTATAAACTCCTTTCCCTCTCGTCGTTAATTGTTTTGAATTATAAGGTTTTGAGCTGTGCTTGTATTGTTGCAGATAAAGAGATTAAGGCTGCCAATGAGGATTGGGAAACATAGGGGTTTTGCATTTATAGAGTATATGACGAAACAGGAAGCTCGGAATGCACTTGAAGCTCTTTCCAACACCCATCTCTACGGTCGTCACTTGGTACGTTTTTTAAAGTGAAGACAAAAAATGAAATGTTTTGCGAATAAGTTGAGTTGAATACTTACTGTTGCTTGGTTTGCAGGTTCTGGAGAGAGTCAAGGAAGGTGAAACCTTAGAGGAATTACGGGCTAGAACGGCTGCTCAGTTCACAGACTCCACTAACTTATCCAAAAAAAGAAAGCAGTTGCCCGTATTTGATGAAGGAAATAACGAGTTTGAAAGAATGGTAGATTAGAATTTTGGGTTGTCTTTGTTGTCAACTGTTGGTCGAAAACCTACACGCAAGTGCACGTATCGTACAAGTAATATAGTGGACTAAAAGTCCGGATATCGAACCCACAAGGAATATTTAATTATCTAATCCTAGACGCTAAATTCTACCAATTATTATCAAGCCCACCCTACACAATCGACTTTAGAGAGAATTAACTAAAATAAATAAAAAATACAAATTAAAACGACAAAGCAAGAAAGCAAATTAAACACGAAGATTTATCAGAGTAAACGAGCCTAGGATTTTATTCTTCCCCCTATGTGATTATTACTCCCCCAATTCCTTCAATTATGCAAGCAATTAACCCGGATTATTAACCTGAGATGCTAAAATAATCATAACCCGCTTCCGCGTGTATTACGATTCTAATACTCTAGATTCAATTACTATATTCCTATGCAATTAATTCTAGAACACAGCATTAAGCACAAATCTCAATAATGGCTACCTAAGAGATTAACTATATTCCTATGTTAATACCACAAAGGCTCTTCTACCACAGTTCTAATTATTAACCCGATCTTCCGATTCATGCGATTAACAATAACATAAAAGCGCATAAAGTGGCCAGTTTCATGAACTTAATAAAACAAGTAGAAGAAATAATCCGGAATTAAAACTTGCATAAAATCATAGAAAAGGGTTCATAAATCCCACATAGGGTTCCAAATAAAATCCTAGAAATAAGAAATTTAGCTACTCATGATTAAAGGAAAAACACAAATAAAATAAGTCATAAACGATAAATCTATGCTTAGAGTCTTCGAATTCTTCGTCTTCGTTATTGCTTTGTTGCTCTCCAAATTGCGTCAAAAAGGTCCCTAATTGTGTGCTTGGATTGGTCTTATATAGGGTGAAGAACTTGGGGAAGAAGGCAGTTTCCTTGTGCAATTAAAATCCCTTTACTGCGCAACTTCGGGGTATGGGACGGGGGTCCCATAATTTGCACTAAAACTGGGACGGGGTCCGAGCCTTGTTTCTTCAGAATTTTGATATTTTCACTTTTGACCCATATTTTCGCCAAAATTGCAGTTTTGACCCCATACTTTTCCAATTCTTCAATTTGTACCTAAAATACAATAAATCAATTTTTTAAGCACCAATTATCATTAAGACACACCAAAAGCTCAAATAAAAAGGTACGATAAAGTGTAAAAATATACACTTAACACACCCCTAAACTTGAACTTTTTCTTGTCCTCAAGCAAAATCTACCAACAAGCAAATAACTCAACTATAACATCTCATCACATAGATCAATGATCAACTTCACGTTTTCAGAACTTGTAATTATAATGACAATTCTTAGGTATTCGCAAGCTCAAAATTCAACAACACTTAGTCACTCACCATTACCAAAAACCACAATGCATACAATTGCTTCAAGCATCCAATATTTGCAAATTAAAGATAGAAAGAATTTATACTTACATGCATATGCTTGACTCCAAATACTCACCAAATTATTCTACTCTACTAATATCGAACATTAAGCTATTGGGATCATTGAGGCTTTGTGGCTTTCAATTGTTAGGCTCTTTGGTTCGAGGTAGGAAATATGGGTATATGTGGCTATTTTTCTTGAATTTAGGTGATTACGCCAAAATTTGAAAGATAGGCGTTTAAAACAATGAATTCACCTCTACGGACTTTAATAAACTCGATTCTTAAGAGTTCAAAAGTCTCCACTTTTGCTCTTAAGGCAATGGATCGAGTTTTCAAAAATAATTCAACAACTAGTCCTTATTTCTCTCTTCTAGTCTCTTCTTCTTCTTCTTTTTTTTTTTCTTTTTTTTTTTTCTTTTTTTTTTTTTTCTTTTTTTATATATATAGAAGCATAGATATTTGTCTTTTTTTTTTTTTTTTTCTTTTTTTTTTTTCCGAAGAAGAAGAAGGACCTTATAAAAATTTTCGACCGAACTCCAAGGGATAATTTTTTCAAGAATCTCCACCTATTCTACCTTACACATTGACTAAAAGAAAGAACACCTTTTCTCCGAGGCTCAAAACAAGGTTCTAAGGATAATTTCGATAAAAAGGTCGGCTTGAAAGGCTCAAACGGTTCAAAGAAGGCCCAAATCATATCCCAAATCACTCACTACTCAATACTTCGTATCATAAATTTCCTAAGGTGAGTCTTAAAACCGAACATAGCATGATCTAGCACAAATTAATTCCAAATTTAAAATACAAAACATTCAACCAAAGCAATGCACAAAATGTGATTCCTAGCAATAATTCGCTTCTAAGTCCCGTTGAATCGAAAGCTAAACAAACATCAAATCCTTATCACACAAAACAAGCAATTCATCATCAAACATTGATCATCTCTCATCATCATAACTCATCGATGCATTCGACTCACAATTTTTTTTTTTTTAAATTCCGGAAAAACGAGAAAAGCAATAAAAACGAAAAAAAAAACCTAATGCATGCAAACTAAAACAAATAAGCACAAAAACATGTTTTTCACCCCCAAACTTAAAATTTTCGTTGCCCTCAACGAAATTAGCACAAAGTTTTAGGATAGAAAACACCTGATTTAGTCGGAGTCGATGTGATCGGGGTGCTCCTCCCTAGCTCTCTCACGCTCGTCCTCATTGGGCGGTGGCACTTTTCTTTCCCTTTCCCTTCCCTTTGGAAGATGATGCTTCGCTCGTGCGGCCTCGTTTGTTGGATGACATAGTTGGGAGAGAGGTTGGAATAGATTCGGTGAGAATTGGTTGACAATCGAACTCAAAATTTGGTTGGAGCAAATTGTCGAACACCTTGTGGGCGTGCCTTGAAAGAGTAGATTTTGGAGAATTTGGTTCGATTCTCTAGCCTCCATTTGTGTGTGGGAGTTTGAGAGAAGGAAAGAGGAGGGTTTAGGAAATAATTGGGGAGAAAATCTAATTTTTTAAAGTTAAAACGCCCCAAAAATAGTCGGACGGCCGTCCCGGTTTTTGTGCTGATTTTCGGACGGTCGTCCGACATCTTCTGTCTCCCCTCTGTTCACGGGACGGCCGTCCCATGTTTGTGCCTTATTTTCGGACGGCCGTCCCACAGGCAGTGATGCCGTTTGGGGCTTTCTGTTTCCCAGACGGCCGTCTGAGATTTTGCTTGCAATTTCGGACGGCCGTCTGGACCCCCTGAACATGTTTTCGACCCTGAAAATTAAAATTCAAATAGATTAATTAGAATGCATGCCTATGAAAATAAAAGCGAAACGAAAAATCAAAGAAAACTACGAAAAACAATAAAGCTCGGGTTGCCTCCCGAGAAGCGCTAAATTTTAAGTCTTCAGCCGGACTTTGCTTCTTGAAATTGTTATGTCCAATCCAAAGCCTTGTAGATTGCGCATCCATCCATGAGCTTTGTAACTTCAATTGCAACCGATACAGGGATAGGATTGCAATATGTCAGGGTCCACCTTAGCTTGTAGTCTTTCTTAGTTGTAATCAATCGGTACGAAGCCAAGTTGGGATCTTCATCACCCGCTCCCTCAAATCGGTACACAAAAACCTCACGTCCGCGTATAACCTCCACTTCAAACACATTCGTCTTCTCATCAACCTCTATTGATGCCTTCAAAGCCACGTCACGAACAACAATAATATCCTCAATTTGAATATTTGCACTAACCACATCCATCTCATTCTTCTCTTGTTCCGAGACATCTTTGGAGTTGAGCTCGATTTCATTGTCAGATTCATCATCCTCAAGCGTCTTTGTAATTTCTTTTTCCCTCTCATCGACACTATTTTCTAGGTCTAAAGGATTTTTCTCACCACAAATTTCGGACGAATTTTCTTTGTTGCAGCAACCATTCTCGATATCGTCTGAAATATTTTCAAGAGACCTTTGGCGCTTGAATTCTTCCAACTGTAACTCCAGTCTTCGGATAGATGCTTGAGTGGATTTCATAAATTCTTCAAGGACGGAGTTCAAATAACACTCCTGAACAGTGGGTTCTCGTGGCGTGTTGGTGTATGTGTTCCAATAACCGCCGTTGGTGTTATCTATGAAACTATTCGCTTTCGGTGCATACCAACATTGGTTAGTGTAATGATCTCCACCACATATTGAACAAAGTGACGGCATATTATAGCTATTTTGGAGGTATTCGCCAGACGGAAGCCATTCATATCCCGTTTGAGGTGCGCGAAAATTGTAACCTGACATGTAACCAAAGAAAAAAAATATATATTAAAAAAAATTAAAACGAAAAGATAAAAAAAAAATTAATTTGGGTGAATCGTGAAAATTGTTCAAATTTAGAGCTAGAATAAAATAAATAATTAAAATATTCCCCGGCAACGGCGCCAAAAACTTGTTGGTCGAAAATCTACACGCAAGTGCACGTATCGTACAAGTAATATAGTGGACTAAAAGTCCGGATATCGAACCCACAGGGAATATTTAATTATCTAATCCTAGACGCTAAATTCTACCAATTATTATCAAGCACACCCTACACAGTCGACTTTAGAGAGAATTAACTAAAATAAATAAAAAAAAACAAATTAAAACGACAAAGCAAGAAAGCAAATTAAACACGAAGATTTATCAGAGTAAGCAAGCCTAAGATTTTATTCTTCCCCCTATGTGATTATTACTCCCCCAATTCCTTCAATTATGCAAGCAATTAACCCGGATTATTAACCTGAGATGCTAAAATAATCATAACCCGCTTCCGCGTGTATTACGATTCTAATACTCTAGATTCAATTACTATATTCCTATGCAATTAATTCTAGAACACAGCCTTAAGCACAAATCTCAATAATGGCTACCTAAGAGATTAACTATATTCCTATGTTAATACCACAAAGGCTCTTCTACCACAGTTCTAATTATTAACCCGATCTTCCGATTCATGCGATTAACAATAACATAAAAGCGCATAAAGTGGCCAGTTTCATGAACTTAATAAAACAAGTAGAAGAAATAATCCGGAATTAAAACTTGCATAAAATCATAGAAAAGGGTTCATAAATCCCACATAGGGTTCCAAATAAAATCCTAGAAATAAGAAATTTAGCTACTCATGATTAAAGGAAAAACACAAATAAAATAAGTCATAAACGATAAATCTATGCTTAGAGTCTTCGAATTCTTCGTCTTCGTTATTGCTTTGTTGCTCTCCAAATTGCGTCAAAAAGGTCCCTAATTGTGTGCTTGGATTGGTCTTATATAGGGTGAAGAACTTGGGGAAGAAGGCAGTTTCCTTGTGCAATTAAAATGGGACGGGGGTCCCATAATTTGCACTAAAACTGGGACGGGGGTCCGAGCCTTGTTTCTTCAGAATTTTGATATTTTCACTTTTGACCCATATTTTCGCCAAAATTGCAGTTTTGACCCCATACTTTTCCAATTCTTCAATTTGTACCTAAAATACAATAAATCAATTTTTTAAGCACCAATTATCATTAAGACACACCAAAAGCTCAAATAAAAAGGTACGATAAAGTGTAAAAATATACACTTAACATCAACTATTTGTATTACTGAAATATTTTACAAATTTTGAATTGTAAAAAAAAGGACTTATGAAAACTACATCAACTCGATCTAACGAGCGACAACTCACTAGTTTTATCTCTATTTCTGCTCATTATCGTTTGAGCATTTCATTTTGATCCCGTTGTCTTTTCGAATGTATAATTTCATTCTTTTTCTTTACTTGGCCACAATAAATGTACTTACACATGAAGTAGACTAATAATCATATGTCAGAGACTAGTATGCAGATAATAGATTATGAAGAACTCTATCCTCATTATAAATCTAAATAGATTTTGTATAAGCTACAATAACTAAAACTATGAAAATTATAAATAAATAAATAATATATTTGATTGAAATTTAGATGATACCTTTAATTTGTTTTAAAAGAATTCTAAAAATATAATATTTACTTATGTATACATATATATATATATATATATATATATATATATATATATATATATATATATATATATATATATATATATATATATATATATATATATATATATATATATATATATATATATATATATATATATATATATATATATATATATATATATATATATATATATATATATATATATATATATATATAAATATATTTATATA